TTTCTCCTCTCATCTCATAATCTCTTAAGACACCTAATAAGGGATAATAAGTGTTGTACGCTACGAGCCTTAAGTACTTGAGGAATGATAGTTGGGGAGCCTCCTCTCAATCTTTCTAGAGTGTTTAGCGTATGCCCTTTGGGCGATATGTGACGCATTCGCTCTCAAGTCATAGTCTTTAGTGCAATATGAGTTACAAACTTAACTCAATTCACTTCTTGTTAAAAAACACAAAACAAAACATCAAACCTTTTTATCCTTCGGGATTGTTTGGAAAATCATTTTCAGAAAGAGTGTGTTAAGTCTTGGTTCTACCGCAAACAGGCATTGTCCCTAACTTCTGGAACCACCATTTAACCCTACTCAGTTAAAACACTTAAACCAATTTGTGGTCGTGCTAGCCTGAAATGCATTTGCTCTTATTTCTCATACCAGATGAGGATACATAGGCACAAGATGACGATGTCTTGGCGAGCAACCTTTCCCACCTTCACCCGTAGTTTTCCGAACTACGTTGACTCTGAATTTCCCATTGCACGAGGGAGTACGTAGGCATTGAGCGACGATGCTCCATTGAGTCTATTTTCTTTTCTTTTGTCCCTGTGAGCCAACCTTTGATAGATTAACACCTTTTTAGATAGACAACAAGCATGGATCCCGTTGAGTATAACGGACGTGAGGGGTGCTCAAACCTTCCCCTTGCGTAACCGACTCCCAAACCCAAGATTTGGTTGCGATGACCTTGTCTTTTCTCTTTTTCGTAGGTTTTCTCTGATCGTTTCCTTTCCCTCTCCTTGGGATAAATAACGAACGGTGGCGAATCTTCTGTCTTTTTCGGCCCATCTTCACAGCGATGTGACACTCCCTTACCATCATTTTGACTATTTTTAGTGGGAAGTTTTATCCCTGAACCTAGAATATTCACCTTTATCCCCAGACTAGAGCGTTTCCCAATCCCCGGTAGAGTCGATCCTTGATCATTCATGCCCTTGCAATCATTCTTGTGATCAATCACCATTTCCTTGGTTCAAGATTATCATCTTATTTCCCTTAGTTAACCATAGTTTGTCTTTTAAAATACTAAGTTTCTATTGAGTTAGCAATCTTTTATTGGTTCAATACTCTCTCTTTTGATCGATCACTATTTCTTGGTTCCTCAGAAGACTCGCATAGACCCATTATTTGGTTAATCACAGTCTATCGGTTAAAACCAATCTTTTTTAGTTTAATCACCTTCTTTTGGTATATAACTCGTTCCTCTGTTAACCACAGTTCGTCTGTTAACTTATTTGAGTTTCTCTTGGATTAATCACCTTCTCTTGGTTCATCACCCGTCTTTTGGTTAATCATAGTCCGTTTGTTAAAACCAATATCCTTGTGAGTTGGCAACCTTCTGTTGGTTCAAATACCCATGCCTTTAGGTTAGTAACCTTTTATGGGTTCAAATACCCTCTTCTCGTCCGAGTACTACTATTTAGTTAGTGTACAAAACCCCTTTTGGTCACAACCTTCGCTTGGTTCCACACCCTGTTCTCTTGGGTCACAATCTTCGCTTGGTTCCACACCCTGTTCTCTTGGGTCACAACCTTCACTTGGTTCCACACCCGTCCTTTTGGTTAATCACAATTCATCTTTTAAAACCAATTTATCCTACCCTTTTTCGGTTAACCACTGTCTGTCAGTTAACACACTAAAGTCTCTAGAGAGTCAATCACCTCTTGGTTAAGCACCTTTTTTTTCTGGTTAAACACCGTCTGTCGGTTAAACACCGATTTCCTTCTGCCCCGTCAAGATCATATCTTCTATTTCTTCAGTTAACTACTGCTCGTCAGCTAATATATTGATTTCCAGTGGATTTTGCTTTATCTCGATTCAACTTCTTCGCTTCTTTATTCACTTGGTTTCGACACCATTCCTTTGCTTTCTTCCCCAGTGAAGTCACCAACATTCCTTTGCTTTTCACTCTTGGTTTTGACACCATTTCCATTTTTTCTCTGTCCTAGTTCCTCAAACTACGGAGCTCTGACTTCCTCATTGCACTGTAAGGATACGTAGGCATGAGATCGCGAGATCTTGGCGAGCTACCTTTTCCTTTTCTTTCTCTTTGGTCTCCCCAAAATCCTTTTCTTACCTCTGGTCCGCCCAGAGCTCTTTTCTTTCCCTGGTTCCATGAACTACGAAGCTCTGAATTCCTCATTGCACTATGAGGATACGTAGGCATGAGGGTCCCAATACTCTGTGAGCACTTTATATTTCTTTCTTTTTCTATCTTTTCTTTCCTTCTTTAGCTAGAAGCCTTTAGATAGATAACCCATCTGAGCCTAGAAGCAAGCATAACGGTTCCCATCGAGTACGACAGATGCGTGAGGTGCTAGTAACTTTCTCTCACATAACTGACCCCCTTAGCTGTTTTCTTCCCTTTGGATTTTATTGATATTTTCCCCGTCCTTTGGGACTAAATAAATTTGGGTGGCGACTCTGTTGTATCTTTGAGTGTGCGATTCACTCAAGTATAATCCCACTAGCTTCAGCTGGCGACTCTGTTGAGGAGTCCTTGCTCTTTCAAGTTGGGGTCTTGCCTAGTTTTGTTTGCTTTTCTTGCTTGTCTGGGTGTCTATCTTGGTGCTTTAATTGTTTTATCTTTATGTTATTTACTGCATTACTTTACTGATTTAAATATTCATATGTTGCATATTTTGGATATCTACTCTATTCTCTGCTGTTGTTGGGATGGGTTGCTACTTGAGAGACAAGTCCACTACCCAGTCTTGAGTACATATACAAGATTATAGTGGATAGTCGTGTGACTTGTGTAGCGTCTTGTTACATGTAGTTGGCACGATACCCACATTCAGACGAGGTTTTCTTGGGAGATATTTTGTCCTGTATGTCTTATGTAGATAACAGGGTGTTACCATAGAGAGCTTACGACTCTGGAGACCTTTTGGGGGAAGTCAGTGGAGGCACTATTGAGGGGTAATAATCCCTAACCACAAATGGTGAATGTATTATTATTTCTCGATCTCAATGCTTGAGAAGCTGGTGTCACAACTGCGAAAAACGACCGTCGTAAAATAGAAGAATCGCCACCGACCGTTATTTATCCTGACGGGGAAAAGGAAACGATCAAAGAAAACTCAAAAAGGGAGAAGACATGGTATCGCAACCAAATCCTGGGTTTAGGAGTCAATTATGCGAGAGGAATGTATTAGCACCCCCCACGTCCATTATACTCAATGGGATCCACGCTTATTGTTCTTATCAAATAACGTGTTTATCTAAAGCCTACTACTAAACGAAAACGGAAAGGGAAAGACAAAAGGCGACTCGATAGGACTTCGTCATCCTAGGCCTATGTATTCCCTTGTGCAATGAGAAAGTCAGAGTTATCGTAGTTCGGAGGACTACGGGTGAAGGGGAGAAGGTTGCTCGCCAAGACTTTGTTGTCTTGTGCTTTCGTATCCTCATTCGGACGAGAATGAAGAAGTCAAAGCATCAGTAGTTCGTGGGATCCATTATTAAGTGTTTTTTATGAGCGATGCTAAATTCGCGTTCCAGCAGTTAGGGTTGATGCTTGTTTGCAGTAGAACGGAAATAATGTGTCCTTTCTGAAAAGGTTTGACAAAAAGTCTCGAAGGACAAAATGATTTGAAGTTTGTTTAAGAGTTTTATTAGAAGTGAATTGACTTTATTTGGGATGCACATTGCACTAAAGTCTATGACATATGATTGAATACTTCGCACTAACGATCCAAGTGTATCGCGCGCAAAGTACCCTAATATGAGGTTAGAAATTCATCCGCTCATCTTTTCCCATGTGGTTAAGGCTCGTGGCTCACAATGCACAACATATTTATTACATGTTTTGATTTTTTAAAAGAGAAATGAGAGATAGACGCACAAAAAGCCTAAAGGGAACTCGGTCCTACATGTTTTCATGCAAAGTGGCTTTAAGGTCGGGATTAGGAGACGATTCTATCCTAATGTTATTATACAAAGGATTGAGAGCCTAATGTCTGTCATACTCCAAACTTAATCAAAAATTAAGTTGGACTAGGAACCCCTAGAGGAACATGTGAGTATATAGTAATCAACAAGTAATACAAAGCAACTCAATCACAAAGAAAAATTGAATACGAAGCAAGGTTAAAGTACTAGGAGAAATTCATGTCAAACTATCAAGCACAAGGCCTGCCTCAAGATTAAACCAGTATCCTCAAGAATTAATCAATAACAAAGGTATCAAGAAATAACCACAATGTGTATCAAGGATTAAAATCAATAATTAATTCGGAATTAGTCAGATTAGGCATCAAAATCATGACAAAACACAAGAAGGAAATTCACAAGATTCCATCAAGAAATATTTACAAGTATCACCAAAATTTTATGAAAGTCGAATAAAAACTAAAATCACAAATTAACCGCAACCAAGATCAACATTATAATTAACACCAACTAAGAACAACATTTAATCCAAAAATTGGCATCAAAATCAATATTAAAATCTAAATCAACCTTTAACAAAACTAGAATCAACATAATTTAATAAAAAAAACAAAAGTTAACAACGAGAGGGTGCAGACATTGAATTGAGGATGTGAGAAACAAAATTGGGTGCAAGCTCTACATATTATGCCCAATGATTCTTGCAGCATGAACAGGGTGGTGGAAGAGTGAAATGAGGGTGCAAAAAGAAGTTTAATGGCCAAAGGCCCAATCCACGTTAAATAATCCTAAGAAACTCAATCTTCAGTCTCTCATATCTTTCTCTCTCTCAGCGATGCCTTTCTTCAAACACGACTCAAACTCTCACCACCTTCATCCACGATACCGTCGCGCCGGCATGCCACACGGCGGCGGCTGCGACGGCCCTAAATCACACCTACATCCCGCAAATCTTGATAATCAACTCCAACACAAATGTTCGATCTCTGCCTAAATCAAAAAATATTTCAAAAACCCTAGGTCACGAATCTAATCAACTCGAATACGAATTCATGCCTAAGACCTTAGGGTTCCTACTCAAGGTTTACACCTCCATGATGAATGCACAGCGGATTAAAGGAATTGCTTACCTTCGAAGTTGGAGGATTGACGCGACGGAAGGGACAATAACGAATCACGCAGATATTCTCCCAGAAAATTCCTCAGTGAGTAGCTTCTAATTCCGCTTCCTTTTCTTCTCTTCTACCTGAACTCAGTTTGTTGTTGTTATGCGAAATCTTGCGTGTTGAATGACGCGTTCTTGAACTTGCAGGTTGGTGAATTGACGAAGATGAATGGAAGATTGGCTTGGAGAACTGATCCGGTTTTGTGCGTATCAAAGGAAGAAGCGAGGTTTGTGCGATATGAAGTAAAAGATTGAAGACAAAGATGAAATGGAAGATTGGTTTGGTGGTGCAGAGTCTGTTATTGTCTGTGTGGATGAATTGAAGAGGAATCAAGATGGAGAAGAAGTGAAAGTGTAGAGAGGAAATTCTGAAAAAAGTGGAAGAAATTAGAAGAAGAATTATGAAGAGGGAGAAGCTCTGAATTGAAGATTGATGAAGGTGAGTGTAATATCAGAGAGGCTGAACTTTGGAGCTCACTATCTTTATTTATAGAGGTGCCCTGAGGTTCGTTTCAAATTGAAATTCTGTTAGGAGAGTTTTTTATTCTGTTAGGATTGTTTGTTAGAAGTGAAGCTGTTAGTTACAGGAGGTTATGAAACTGTCATGAACAGTTGTAGGATAGAGTTAAGTTAGTTATGGTACGATTCAAATGTTAATTGTGCTGCTGTAATGTTATTTACCCTATTGTACCAAGAATCATGTTAGTTATTTCTGAAAAATGGATGAAGTTAGTTAAGTTTGAAAGTTGGTTATGAGTTATAGGGTTAGCTGCTCGAAAAAAACAGTTACTGTTAGTTCATTTGTTAACTCAGTTAGTACTGAATTTTCTGTTAGATTAATTGTGAGGTGATGATCTCTTAAATGATGTGATATCCAATGTGATTTCAGTTAAGTGTTACCAATAGTTACGAGTTAGAAAAAAGTATTAGTTAAGTTAGTGAGAAGTAATTAGTTGGTAGTTAGAAAGAAACTGGCAGTTAGTTTTGACAGTTTGAAATTGTGTTGAGTGGCTGCAGTTAACATTAACTATGTCATAATGAGAATGTGAAATCAATTTGGTTCTGCTAGTTTGGGAATGTTGCAGACTGTGTTATGAAATCATGTTAAGTTATGATTCATGAGATTCCATTGTACTTAAATGAAACTAGAGTAAACCTGCTAGTGTTACATTCTGTCATGGCCTTAAAGGTCAATTGCCACTGTGCTATTCTGCTGTTGGATTCTCAATGATTTTTGACTTGGTTTTTTTCTATTTTGTGGAATGTTAATTTTTGATTGAGCTTAACCTTGCTAGCATGATAGCATTCAAATTGGTTTTATGATGATGCGATTATTGACGGTTAGGGTATATATCTTAGTTGAAATGAAGTGAAACTGAATTGGTCCTGCTGAATTAGTGAATCCTGTTTTGAATATGCATTGCTTGCCTCATATGTGAATGAAAATGAAGATTTATTGATGAATGGATGATATTGAACTTTATACTGCCCTGATGATTTTGTATTTGTTTAGATTGAATTGTTTTCACACTACATGAAGTGGTTTATGACTTGGATATTGAAATGTGTTGGAATTGTGAATGAGCATAAGTTCAAGATATGGTTTGGATGATGCTTTGGAATTGGTATGCTAGCTGTTGGTTTTGTCCTATTTTTATGCAGGTATGTGTATTGTATGATGTTGTGTTTTGGCCTATTTTTATGCTAGCATGATCATGGCCTGAAGGTAGTGTATGGCTGCTGGAATTCATTGGTTCCTTGATGTTGCAGGCTGTTTTGGCATAGCATGATGAAAGAGTGAGGTTTTGGCTATGGCATGACATAAAGATTTTGGCATGAAATTTGGACGTGAAGGTTCGATCAAGAAGCTATGGTCATGAAATTTTGGATGTTATCATGGAGTTCCTTCATGCTCAGAAGGACATCGCCGCTACTGTCACTGTTGTTGCAACCACCACCGACGCAACTGTTGTCACTCCTATTGTTACTTCTTCTACTACTGTTATTGAAGCGCTAATTGAGACTGTAATTCAACCTGTTGTCAACCCACCAAGCTCTCAGCCCACTCCGAATAGGCTTCATGTTGCCTATCCGTGGGGAATGCCCCTAAGTTTTACTCCTCAGATTACCAAAGGTGGTGCCTTTGTGCCTTATCAACCTTTTGTTGTGCTCGTGCCCAATGGGAACTCTGTTGCTTACCCATGGGGGCATGCATACTCCGCTTCCACCTCCAGTGGTGAACAATGCTGATCATGAGATTCCTCAAGTACAGACTCGCCAAACTCTTGTGTCAACTAATGTTGAGACCTCTGATGAGGATGAGCATGTGTAGAGAGGCCTTCCTATTCATGTTCTGGTTTTATCTCAATCTTATCAAACTACTGCTCAAAATGTTCATTCTGAAGTACCTTAACCTGGGGCATCCTCAGATGTTGTGGTACCTCCTCCTAGTTATCTGTATGGTATTCAAATGGGTCAGACTTCTGATCGGATGGTTAATTCTGGGTTGATGTATTTGTTTCAATTTGCTTCTCCTCAAATGTCTGCTCTGGCTGCGTCACAACTTTCGAATTCGCAGACTCTTGTCAATTCTGCTTCTCATAACAGACTTATAGAGTATAAACTGTTAGATGAGAGGATCAGAGCTATTGGAGATTTTTCTGCTTTTGGCATGGATGCCAAAAACTTGTTTTTGGTTCCTAATGTTGTGCTGCCACAGAAGTTCAAGATTCCTGAGTTGCCAAACTACAAAGAGTTGATTTGTCCTCGTAGTCATGTGACCATGTACTGCAGAAAGATGGCATCTTACATTGACAATGATGAATTTCTGATTCCTTGTTTCCATGACAGTTGTGGACCGATCTTCGTGACCCCACCCAATCCTGAGATGGTGAGATTTCCGTGAACTGTGCTTATGCCACTTTCGAATTTCTAATATTTATCCTATGATGCTTAAAAGGAAGGCAAAGAAATCTAAATTAACCCTGCGTGGAAGTGTTATTCCTACAAATGCAAAGAGATTTGGAATCGGGGGTTGGTAATACAAAGGGAAGCTATTAACACTTGAGTATCTATAGTACTATATAGGAACATTTTTGTACACTTTTTACTATTAGTCATTTCATCTACTTAAGTTGTTTACTGTCGATTGGGAAAGTTTTAGCCTATGGGTGAGAATGAGAATATGAAATGTTTTGGGAATTTTTGTTTTATGAAAGGTATGGGGACCTAAGGGATTTTATTTAAAGGTGTGTTCGCTAAGATTTCGCAATCTTATGCCTACGCATCCTCAAAAGGAAATTGAGAAGTCAGAGCGTTCGTAGTTCCACATAACTAAGGATGGAATTTTTATCTTGTTCAAATCCCAATATATGAAGCTAAAAGTTTTGTGGGTTTTTGAAAGAAAAGGCAAATTGTCATTCTTAAGGGAGATATCCCATCTATTCATCACAAACATTTGATAATGATATCATAAGGAAAGAAGCTTTGAACTTGGATGTTAAAGAATCCTAAGCAATGCCACATTTTCCTTTATGAGTCTTTGCATGATAAGAGAAGGGCCTTAACTTGGATATAATATCAACAAGTGTGTCACTTACATCACTTAGATGAAAGAAAAGTTTTGGACCATGATAAGAGAAGAACTTCAACTTGGATTTTGAATCAACAAGTGTGTCACTTACATCACTCATATGGAAAAAGGTTTTAATGTTTGATTTTGAATTGTGGTGTATAGAAGAGATATCTTCTTGCAGGGATGACTCAATGTCTCATCTCTAGGGAGAAGTTTATTTATTTGAGTATCTTGTTCAAAGCTCAAGATGATGAAGCTAAAATATTTGTATCTTGTTCAATGCCTAAGATGTGGAGCTAAAAAGTTTATTATAGTCTGAGAGAAGACTGACTTAACTAGGGGAGTTTTGAATTGATGGTCTTTATATAAAGCTTAAGAGGAGGCTGTGATGGAGTTGACTTCATCCAAAGAGGAACTAGGGTTTGACCTAAGTTGTAGTTGAGGGAACCCTAATGTTGAACCAAATTTAAACTAGGTATGAAGTGTTATAAATGTCAAGAGAAACTTAATATGAATAAGTACATGACAGGTATAGCCATGAATTGAAAGTGGAGGGTCTTATACTCTAATAGAGGCCCATGTCTAAGCATGATTAACTTGAAAAAAAGGTGGGTATTACACTCTGGTAGAGACCCAAAAAGTTTGAATTTTGAATGCCACTAGGGCTTTGTTTGATGAAAGTTGATGATTGAGTTTTGAAAGATTGAATGTTTTGAGAAATTGAAAAAAGTTTTGAGGAGGATGGTAGGGTCTTACACTCTAGCAGAGGCCTAAAAGGTTTATAAGTGTAATGGTTCTTACACTCTAACAGAGACCTAAAAGGTTTGAAAATATAATGGGTCTTACACTCTAATAGAGGCCCAAAAGGTTTGAAAATGTAATGAGTCATACACTCTAACAAAGGCCCAAAAGGTTTACATGGATAAGTATTGAAAGAAATGTTTTAAACATGTATTATTTTTACAAAGTACTCATATGAAAAAATATCTAATCATGGTGAGTTAAAAGGGAAGGGACTTATACCAAGTGGAGGCCCATGATTTTATACAAAAAGTTTTGAAAATATTTATTCAAGGTGAAACCCCAATTATCTTTTAATAAAAGATACTTTTCAAAAGAAAATGGATTTAATCATGGTATAAAAAGTGTGTAAGTCAAGATAAGTGTGTTGTGGTCTTGTATCAATGTTTTAAACAAAGTTTATTCATCCATATGAGAATAAAAAATGAACCAGGTTTGAAAACATTAGAAAGAAAATCAAATTTTCAAGGTTTTGAACCTAAAAAAGCACTCATTTTCAACTTAATAAAAATGGATTAAATAAAGACTTTTTTTTGGATTTTTTTGATTGATTAAAATAATAGAATGTATGAGTGACATGTCTGAAAAAATTGGGTCAAAAAGAAATAATTTGATAGGAGAAATAAATGTTTGAACTTTAGAAGAAAAATATGAAAAATGAAAAAAGTAGTAAAAAAATATGACATGGGTGGGGTTTAAACCCACACCCTCATGCATCACAACAACAAAACAAGCCCTCGCCAATTGAACCAACGCACGTTGGTGTTATCCAAATACAACCAACATATAATATATTTAAAATGCATGGTAAAATTCAAATTTCGCGCCAAACTTCATCTTCTTCCTCGAGCCAACTTCTGAATTTGCAAAAGTTATGCTA